GGCCCCAACATCCCTTAAAGTAATGGACATGGGACCAAGAGGGAAAACAAAAGTATCATACTCAGAGGACCAAAAACTTAATGCAATAGGGAAAAGTGCTGAATCAAAAATAGGGGTCGCAGAGAGATTTCTAGCAAATCAGAAATCCTAGCATTATCAAAAATTGCCTTGGTAGGACCATGGTTCACAAGGCGAGCATGCCATCTACGGAAAACAATATCTGATTTAGGCCAAGTGCGAATACCTCTTTCGCGAAGCGGCTTTAGCGGCAAAGAGTTTAGAAACGGAGGGCCTTGAGTACAAGGGAACAGCTATCCCACCGCCACTTGTTCGACGGCCTCGGCGTTATTGAATGAGGGACCTAGATAGAACTCGTTGAGTTCGGCATTGGCTCGTGTAAGGAAGTTAGGAGTTATATATGGCCGAGTGAGAAGTTTCTGGAAGTCTTCGAAACTGAAAGAGTCACTAGATTGGGATTGTGAAGCAGCCATTAGGAACGAAATAAAAGCTTTGTTGAAGTTTGCTCGAGAAACGTAGAAAAGAAGCAAGAAGATGAACAGTAATATTGTGAGAGAGAAGCGCAAAGCAATGAGGCGTGATTTAGTCGTGCGATGAAATGGCGTGTATTTGGGGGTTATAAGGGTTTGTAACGTCGCACCTTTTCAGGCTATGGAAGAAAATAATGATTAAAATTCTTGAAAATTTCAAATGTTGTTGGGAAACAAAAAGTGAATATGGTAAAAATTAATAACTGGTATTAATTCTGCCATATTGAGGGGTAATTGTTGACATGCTAAAAGTGCAACCCGATTCAAATAGCCCAAAGAATGAAGGTCAACTGGGCAATTCAGGATAAATGCCCAAACATGATTATTAAGGAATGTAGTGGAAGTCCACGAACGCGGTAACAACATCGCCCAAACTTACAAGACGCCCAGGATCTGAGCGAATGAAATGCCTTGCAGTCGTCCAGAGTTATGACCCTGTTCTCGCCCAAACTTTCGAATCGTCCAAGATCTTAGCAAACATGAGATGTTATGGTTATCCAAAAGTACAATTATCGAAGCAGTTATTGGGTAATCTTATCACGTTCCACGATTCAAGGATGTTCAGTTGAGGACGGTTGAACGACAAAGAGTAATGGCAGCAGTTAGAAACGACAGTTCCACAATAAGTTGGCCACCATGAAGAAAGTGGGCAGTTATAAAACAATTAAACGGTTTCTAAGCGGTTGGATCACAAAGAAAGTATCAAATGAATATAAAAGGAAGAAAAGACATAGAGCAAATGACCGAATCAAACACTCTCAAACAGAAATATGTAATTTCAATTTTTTAGTTTAGACTTAAAATATTTTTTTTCAGTATTCGTATGCTTGCGCCCTTTGGAGGTATTTCTGTTTAAGTTTCAATCGTAAAGTCATTGCCAATAAAACACCCCTTTTTGAGACTTTGTCTCAAGAGGTTTGTTCCTTACACAATCGTCTGATCCCTTTTTAATTGTTAGCGACTACTCGCGCGAAACACAATTAATACCAAGAAAATTCGAAATCAAAATCCAACTTCACATACAAATCAGTATCATATCATATCATACAAAAATAATTAGTAAAATTGTAGGTGTGCATGTCTCTAACTGTAAAAGTATTAGTTAATCATTACGGACTGAATCCGAATCTTCAAATGTTCACGTCAATTGTTTGTGACTGGAAGTGTAGTTGGAATATCAAATCAATATATGATAATTGACCAGGTAGAGATTAAATAAATATTATATAGTTTATTTATGAGTATATAATCAAATTTTAAATGAATATTTCTATTGATGAAAGTTTAAAATAAAATAAATTATTCATTTTACAATAAGTTAAGAGTATGTAAAAACGATTTTTGTCCCGGTAAAGTGAAATTTCTATTATAACACACCGTAATATTAATAAAATTATATATCTATTCTTATTTTATACTTATTTCCATCTACAAAGTTCAAATACAACCCAACAAATATGTCTAAAGATATGAGTGGATTCGATGTGTCGATTTGTACTACGAAGTGTAAGGTATTGATTTTTCCTAAATTTTGTAAATCTGTTTGTTCACATATATTAATTATAAATTGTTTCTATTTACCATTGTTTAGAGATGGCAGTGGTGCCCACCCCGCCTTAGAAGGGACAGGGACGGAGCGGATTATTTTGTCATCTCTACCGTTAGGAATCTTATTAATAATATCATTTACATTACAATTCAATTAGATAGTTAACATATATTATCTTATCACTGTCAACGTAATTGTCAATAAAAAAAAAAAAAGTATAGAAAGGACCCATTTATGGGTTGAGATAAACTTGAACTAAAAGTGATTTAGGCTTTGCTCAGGACGAATTACGACCAAACATTTAATAAACTATACAAGAGTCTTCACTTGAGCGTACTTAGCATCAACAACAGAAATTTTTTATTTTTTCTACTTTTAATTTCATTCGATTTGATTTCAAATCATCATTAAAATTTCGAAACATAAATATAGTGTTTTACAACACTTTAACTTATTTTAAAATTATTTCGAAAACGAGACCAAACCGACAATTTTGATAGTTAGTCTAAATGTTATAAATCTTGTTTTCTTGTTTGTGTTTGTATGAAGTTTCTTTGAAGAATAATTGGTGCTTTTTCAGTTTGAACCTAAACTTGGGCAAAGTTCTTCCAAAAGCGGAAGAAATGCTTTTCACCATGCAGCGACATTCGACATATTCCATTCTATCAATGGAGTAATTTTCAGAACATCATTAAAAGATAAAGTTACTGGTAAACTAGGAATCATCCACTATATATATTTAAATTTAAAGAAGTGATTTACAACATCTAACAATCATAATTAACAAAATACTACAACAGCAAAATGCAAACTTTATTTCCATTTTCCTTCGACAAATAAGCAAAACAACTTGTAAATTTGAGATCCATACAAAAAAGGAAAAATTAAAAATGAACTAGGACTTATTTTATAATAGATATGATATTGATGATATGAATATTTTTTTCATCACTCCAACTCAAAGGGAGAATCAAGAGTACTTAGAAAATAATCCCAGGGTGATGAATGATGATGCGGCGGTGGTGGTGACACTGACGGATGTAAGGGTCAGCCCCTTTCATTTTTTTACTTTAAAAAATTTTAAAATTTTTTTTAATTTTAAAAAAAATTTCATGTGTAATTTTTTATTTTTTTTACCTGTTAGCCCAGTTTGTACTCCAGTCCCGTTCTTGGGTGGTGATGGTGATTGCCAGGATTCTAAAAAATCCCACGAAGGGGATGGTGGCCAGTAGGGTTCTAAGTACTGTGAATGTGGGGGTGGTGATAGTGGTGGTGATGGTGATTGGCAAGGTTCTAAAAAATTCGACGAATGGGATGGTGACCAGCGGGGATCTAAAGACTGCGAATGTTGGGGTGGTGATAGTGGTGGTGGAGGTAGCCAGGATTCTAAACGATTCCTCGAATGGGATAGTGGTGGTGGTGGTGGTGGTGGCGGCGGTGTCGGTGATGATGGTTGAGAGGGTTCGAAAAAATAATTCCACGACGAATGAGATAGTGGTGGTGGTGGTGAAGGTTGAGAGGGTTCGAAAAAATAATTCCACGACGAATGGGATAGTAGTGGTGGTGGTGGTGGTGGTGGTGGTAGTGGTTGTTCTAAATACCTGAGTTTGTAAAGATTTTTCTTACTAGTAATGGTATCATTTTCTTTGTAGTAAAAATCTTGATAAAGCAGTGAGGACCAAAGAGAATCTTCACCTGAGAGTTTATAAAGGAACTTACAGGTGAGTGAAAGCCGACACAAATCTTCGAAATCCATAGCCGACTTTTCAACTCCGATCTCCATTATTCTTCTCCACATGTCCTCCGGCAGTTCAGACATTCTTTTCTTCTGGTGTTGTTAGCTATGTTGATCACAATGTGTGTTATGTAATAATAAATACTTTCTAGTCATACACAAAAGCTCTACCTCTCCATAAAGCAAGGAGTAAAGAAAGTTGTAAAAGTTGATGCAAACAAGAAATCTAGTCATAATGCAAGTAGGCAACGTCAACTTGGGATTGTTTAGCTTTTGATCCCACCAGATAAAATTGTAATAAGAACCTTAACGAGGAAGCTATTGTTAGATATACTCAACGGGTAAATTTAATATTCCATCGTCGGTAAATAGAAACGAATACTTTATTTTGATAAGATTGTTCCAACTTCATTCAAGTTTATTTTTGACTTCAACAATAAGGTTGAAAATACATGTGTGTGTTGAACATTGGCCACGTGAAATTCAATTTGTAGCATTTACCACTCTAAATTAAGTTCGCTTGATTGTCATTGTTAGACATCATGTTGTCAAACAGCCTTCCGGGCGATGATGAAAATCAGTTTTATCAGTCGACATGAATGACTGAATGATAAATCAACACCGAATAATGGGATGACCCGACCTAACGTTGTTTTACCTATTGGATGGCTAATAACCTTTATGGCTTGTTGGTGTGCTATTGGGCTATAACCCTAGTCGAGCCTACTTACCATATGTATAAGTTACCTTAAGTTTGTCATTGGACTATTATATATTTGGTAACTCTCTTTCTTCCTATGAGTCCCGTTTTGATAGAACCCGAGAGAGAGGCAGTCCCTTCTTCTTCTTCGTGCATCCTATTGATTGATCTTCTCTACCTCTTGCTTGAGTCTTTGTGACCCTTACCTGTGTGGTATTCATCCTAAGTGAGTGAGAAAACAACAAGCAAAAGGAGCAATAGCAACCATAAGAAGAAAGCACACCGGCGGTCGGTCCCTTTCAGTTTCTTGGTGTTGATTCGATGTTTAAAGGTTAACTGAGCCCGGAAATCACCTTGAGCAGCTAGAGGAAGATCCTAACATCTGGTATCAGAGCCAGGTTGGCAAAAAACGGCTCAAAATCGGTTGATTTTCGCGTATTCAACATAGTACCCGAATATGAAATTCTTCAATTACTCACAAACCAAAGCTCGGTTGGACAAACGGAGGCCATACCCATTACCAGCAGGTCGAGGCGCCCCTGGTGAGGCGGTGCGTGGGCGACGGCGCGTGGGCGACAGTCCAGCAAAGCTGTCTTCAGGTAACTTGCTTGTTTCGATCTCCTGAACGCGCTGATATACTTTGTTTTGTGTTTCAGGTTACACAGAAAAAGTTGGACGATTTTGCCCCTGGTGCGACGCCGACTGAAATTGAACAGCAAGCTCGTTTTTCTCCACTCTACGGACTCAGATAGGTCCGCTCTGGTAAATTGGTTTAATCCATTTAAATTCAGCGATAGCAAGATCATCGTGTAGGGTGATCGTTAGGTTTTGGGGTTACCGTGAAGGGGTAACCATTGCTTGTGCTAGAATTAGGATTACTTGCGTTAATTGAGTGCTTGTTCTTTTGATTTAAAGTGCTTGGTATTTCTTGGTAGACGTAGCGTTTAGGTTCATTGTTACTTTTGCTAAGAATTAACAAGATATTACCTTATCACGCTTCCCAATACTATTTCGTGTGGTTTAATTAGTGTGTTAACCAATGACAATACATAATTTTGATTTGAGAATATTTAACGGTAAAGGGGACTTCTCTATCTGGCAACAACAAAGGATGAGAGGCATATTAGTCCAACAAAAGGTGTCAAAAGCCATCGAAGGTAATTTTCCACCTGACATCTCAAAAGAACAAAAAGAGGAAGCCGATGAGCTTGCCTATACCTCAATAATATTACACTTGTCTGACGCTGTCTTAAGAAAAGTGGGAAAACTAAAAATTACCAAAGAGCTTTGGAAAAGACTAGAAGACTTATACTTGCTTAAATCTACACCGAATAAACTCTACCTACTCGAACGATTCTTCAGCTTTAAGATGGATTCTTCAAAGGATCTCGACGACAATTTAGATGTATTTAACAAATTGGTGCAAGATATTTTCAATTGTGACGAAGCCGTGTCTGAGACCTATAAGGTTATAATCTTGCTCAATTCAATCCCGGACTCTTCTAAAGAAGTTAAGAATGCCATTAAGTATGGTAGGAACACGTTAACACCTGAAATTGTCGTAGATTCTCTTAGGATTAAGGAGATGGAAATGAGGGCTGAAAAACAGGATAGGAGGAGTGGAGAGTTGCATATGATGCGGGGTAGAACTCAATTTAGGC